CTACGTAAAGGCCAACAAACCGCAGGCGGCGGATTATGACCCCCAAAAGCCCCCCAAATACCTCATGTACGTAGACGCAAACAACCTGTACGGCTGGGCGATGAGCATGCCGCTGCCCAAAGGCGGCTCCAAGTGGAAGAGAGCGACGCCCACCCAAGAGCAGATAATGAAACTGAAAGAAAACTCGAAGAAGGGGTGGATCTTAGAGGTGGACCTGGAGTATCCAGAGGAGTTCCACGAAGCACACAACAGCTACCCGCTTGCGCCGGAGAAAAAAGCAATAGGGGCGGAAAAATGTCACATTACCAAAAAAGAATGATGCAAGACTTGGGCCTGGACCTTCCAAAAAGCGAGAGAGACTGGTGCTCACGCTGGAGGACAAAAACAATTACGTTGTCCATTACAAGAATCTGCAGTTTTATCTCAGACAGGGGATGCGTTTGAAAAAGGTCCACCGAGCAATCGAGCTTGATCAGGAGCGATGCATGGAGCCCTACGTACATCCGGATGAACACAGAATTCAGGAAGGAAGCAAAGAGCGATTTTGAGACCAACTTCTACAAGCTGATGAACAACTCATTGTTCGGCAAAACGATGGAGAACCTGAGATACCGTGTTNCGGATTATGACCCCCAAAAGCCCCCCAAATACCTCATGTACTTAGACGCAAACAACCTGTACGGCTGGGCGATGAGCATGCCGCTGCCCAAAGGCGGCTTCAAGTGGAAGATAGCGACGCCCACCCAAGAGCAAATAATGAAACTGAAAGAAAACTCGAAGAAGGGGGTGGATCTTAGAGGTGGACCTGGAGTATCTATAGGAGCTCCACGAAGCACACAACAACTACCCGCTTGCGCCGGAGAAATAAGCAATAGGGACGGAAAAAAATGTCGCATTACCAAAAAAGAACGATGCAAGACCTGGGCCTGGACCTTCCAAAAAGCGAGAGACTGGTGCTCACGCTGGAGAACAAAAACAATTACGTCGTCCATTACGAGAATCTGCAGTTTTATCTCAGACAGGGGATGCGTTTGAAAACGGTCCACCGAGCAATCGAGTTTGATCAGGAGCGATGGATGGAGCTCTGCGTACATCCGGATGAACACAGAATTCAGGAAGAAAGCAAAGAGCGATTTTGAGACCAACTTCTACAAGCTGATGAACAACTCATTGTTCGGCAAAACGATGGAGAACCTGAGATACCGTGTTGACGTAAAGATTGTTCGAAGCTGAGAGACAGACAAAATACGTCGCCTTGTGGCCAGCCCCTCATATGCAAGGCAGGAGATATTTGGAAACGACCTGGCGGACATCCACATGCTCAAAAGCCGGCTGTTCCTGAACAAACCGATCTACACCGACAGCTTGCTCTTGGAAATAGAGACGGACCATGTCTACAGAGACATGGCGGAAGAACTCAATCTGTACGACACATGCAATTATCCCAAAGACCACCTGCTCTACAGCGGCGTGAACAAAAAGGTGGTGGGCAAGATGAAAGACGAGTGCGCGGGTAGGGTGATCAATGAAGCGGTGGCTATACGGCCGAAGATATATTCGATCTTAGAAGAAAACCCAAAAAAATATCAAGAAAGCCAAGGGGGTAAAAAAGAATGTGGTAGAAAAAGAGATCCGGCGTGAACAATGCAAAGAGGCACTTTTCAAGAAAAAGCAATTTTGGCACGGGATGAACATCCTTGGCAGTCAGGGCCACGAGATATATGGCATGCGTGTAAATAAGGTTTCACTGTCGTCCTTTGATGCAAAGCGTTGGATAGCGGAGGACGGCGTATACACACTGGCATACGGGCACAAAGACATCGCTTCCACTAGTGGAAGCATCATGCATTAGCAAGCGGAAG